AACTGTTACATTTTAGAGTGCCTTTAATGTTTATTTAATTTTCTCCGCCAACAAGTCCGGAGAGTACTATGGATATGCTCGCATGATGTCGCCTATCAAGGAAGATGAAACCCTAGCCCTGGAGATGCCCGCGCGACCTGACCATGGTCCTCCAGAGCCAGAGGAATTGCACGTGATTCCAACTCAAGCTACAGCCACCGCGCCAACCGGACGAATCATAGATGACTCTGCACGGGGAACTATATTCTGGGAAGCGGATTCATCCGGGGGGGACGATGATGAAGATGATGATGGTGATGGTGATGGCGGTGGTGGTGACGATGACAGTGGCGAGAGGAAGGAGGAAGGCAAGGGGGATGAGAGTAGTGATGAGGACGAGACTGGGGGTGGGAACGAAAAGAACGCTGCTGAATTAGTCGAAGAAGCTGCCGAGTCGGGGTTCCAATCGATAGGAAGGCCTTTCCGGGTCCAATGGCTTTCAACAGAACGGGTCCCGTTCCATCGCACCCGAGGTCTTCGCAATCCGTGGAATGCAAACCGCGAAGTCAAGATTGCCCGAGATGGCACTGAAATCGAGCCGAGTGTCGGGGAGAGGCTGATTCGGTTATTCCACACGCAACACCCAACCCATGGGTTTCCGGTATATCACACTTCGCTACCCAACTGAACACAGCGAGTGTTCGCAACCACTTTCCAGTCTCTTGAGGAAATTGGTGTCACAAGAACAGCCTCGCTTTTTGCATGCAAGATCAGGATCAGGATGCATGATTGCGAGCTCCTGCTTGTGGACCAATAGGACTGGCGTACCGAATACGACGCACACGAATTAAAACATAGAACACGATGAATGAAATAGACATAACTAGCATGTATATAATATAAAAACGAGTTCTCCACTTTTGTATGCTTACGTGTTCGACCAACAGGTTGTATCAAAAGATTGTCGTATGTTTTCTAGGTACCTACCTTCCTAAAGTTATGTAGTTACCGTTGAGGGAGCAACCTGACCCTCCTTAGGAATAAAGCAATACACTCAGTAAGTAGAGAGGTACATGGGTAGATAAAAGCTGTACACTGTGTACTAGCGATGATGGAGTAGGGACTGTCTTGAGTAGGAGAGGTTTCTGCCTCAGTCTATGTGGGTAGGTAGTTTAGTGGCACCTAAGTACTAGACTTGAAAGTAGATACATCAATCAATCATCCAGGATAGCTCAAGCTGTGGTTCGAAAGTCAATCCTGCAGCAACCCGGTTGGTACCAACTCTCTGTTGGGCATGTAAGCTTTAGACCTTGATGATGATTGATTGATTAGGCGAACCCTCGTGACTATCTTACTTGTGGAGGTAAGTCTGTGTTACCTACCTTGAACTTAACACGTTAACACTAGCCCCAAAAAGACGAATGCTTCTTAGGCTAATCCAGAAGCAGTAGTGCTAGTGTGGATCCATGGATTCTCCTCTCATGAGGATGATGTTGAGGCATGCTTGAAGTTCACCATACAAGAAAGTGATGACATATCGATTCATCCCTTCATTGAGCTAAAGGCGTTACTAGTTATTATACGCTCTACCTCTCTATGTGTGCCATCACTTAGGATGCCATCGAATGATGTTCATTCTGTAAAAGAATCCAATTTTCTCAATCAACAGCTACCTTAGAGAGGCTGTTACTTACTCCGTAGTTACTCTGGATTGATTCCTCTGCTATTTGAGCGCCCTAGTCCCTTTTCGGTCTAGTCGGACGGTCCCCGGATTCTCTTTGCTGTGGATATCTGATCCACTTGTTCAGTTGGCTAGACCAAATCCGTCCCACGGTCAGAGTCCATGGAGGAGGAGGACCAGCATGACGACGATGATGATGATGACGATAATGATAAGGATAATGATTAATCAACAGGACAGTCTTATGTGCGTCTGTGGTAGGCTTTCTCGTCATGGATATTATATTATATTGCCATCATCCATGGATCTTCGCACCCTAATATAATTGATCACCTTAAGGCGAATTACCCTTTACGCTTACTGGATATGATTGGGAAGAATGGGAGGTGGATTTGTGTGGGGTAAAAAGCAAAGATAACTTGTGAGGTAGGTAAGGTAAGCTCTGCCTAGCTCCTGCTATCGTCCATCAAGAATCCGATTAGTTTATTGCACACTCAAGTTACTTTCATTTCCTTCTCTCCCTCCCTACCTTTGCAAAATCTGCATCTTCAAAAAGCAGAAACAACAGCATCCATCGTCATTTACATCCAGTGTGTCCATCCTTGTCATTCCTCTTCCTTCATTTGTCGTCTACGCCTTGACGGTGTCCTTGTATGTCAGTCCCTCGTCGTCGTCCTCCAACTGGCTTCTTCGCTGTTGCTTGATTGAGCTCACCCCGCAAACCAATTTCCTGTCCCTCCTGCCTACTCTCTTGCTCTTCTGCGTCTACGCAGCTTCTTGATTCCACATATCCTGCCATATACCCCGCACTTTCTCTTGCCACCTTAGCTCCCTGTCTCCTTCTTGTACCCCAAGCTGTACAGGACGGATCGAGAGGGACCTTCTGCTACCTCTTGGGCTACTTTGCATGTCTATTATGCTGTTTGCCGCTCTCGGACATATTTGATTACCGTACCCACTGCTAATATGGCCTGATTTCTCACATTCACCCGCTGATCCATGCACTCGGGGAGCATCCTACTAATTTCCTTTGCTTAGAATCTGCCGAAACCCCCTTTCTTCTTTTATCGCACTATCGACCTCTCCTCCTCCTGTCTTATCTCAATCGATCTATCCCTCTCTCTTCGCCGCTGGTTGTCTGCGGTTGACGTCACATACTTGTGACTGTGGAACGTCCAGATCATCATTCAATCGACAACTGGCGTTAACGTTCCTCAACTTCCATTATTCATAACCCTGCTCTTTCTTCCCCGCAACAGCAACGGCGGTCTAGCGGTTCGCGTCCTCAACCCACTCACGCTTGATTAATACAACCTCAAAACCATCTCATTGGACCATTTTACTCAGAAAGATCTTTTTCTATCAACCTGATCTCTGTGCATTTGTCAGTGCATCCTTGTCCTTTTCTATTACGAATCCTCTTTCAGTGATCTACCATGTCAAACGATCGGTCTACATCTCCAATCTCTGTACCATCCTCATCTGCCCGCCAAAGGCGGCCGTCCCTATCCTCGGGCTTCTTCACCGATTATCTCTCCAGGTCGAGCAACCCAGGGGCTCCGCCTGGCGGCCACACTAGTCCCATGGCTAGTACTGTAAACAATGTCCAGCCGAATCAACGACGCAGGCTGTCAATCAGTACTCTTGGGCTTTCCGGTTCGCCGACCCAAACTGCACCCTTTGGGGTCAGAAATCCTCGGCATGGCAGCTTGTCTAGTTCCGTCGGGTCAAGTCCAAACGCCGACGAAGCCGCCATGGATGATACAGACAACGGCTCTTCCAGCGTTCCTCCCAGCTCACCGTTTGCACGACGTCTCTCCTTTGGTGCGCAGGCCATGCGAGATGTTCGTGGTGGAAGTATAGGCAATGGTAGATATCCCTCCCCTGGGTCTTCTGTGGCTGGAGGGCGCCGGAGCACGACGACCACCAGTCCTGCATCTGCCAATAACCCCCATGCATTAGTTGTTGCAAGTACAAATAAAAGCTTTCCTCAGAAAGATATGTCTAACAAATCGTGGCGACCCTTAGGCGAAGGCTTCAACTGGTCGGAAGCTCTCCGAACACGGGCTGAGCGTGCCCCATCCATTGGAGGCATCTCGCCAATCGCGGGTCAGAGCCAACAACATGTGGCCTCTGCGGAACACCAACGCTATCATCAGCGAGCTGCTTCCATTGCTTCAATGGAGCAACCTGCTCGAGAGATACCAAGGCAACCAAAGCAGAACAAACCTGATTTCTTTCAAGAGAAGATCCTCCGAGGAGATTTTATGGATTAGGCTTAGTCTTTCCTTGTACTTGCTCTCCTTTCCCTTCTCCAAGTGGACAAATCAATCGACACAATACTGCCATGACGTGTGTGTTCCCATTGTTCGAAAAGAACTATCTGTCACCCTTCAGAACGAGAGTGCAGCAAATTTGCATCTCTCAGTCTGAACAGTCAATGAAAAGTCAACATGGGAGCATGTTGATACAGTAACTTTTCTCATTTGGCCATTTCTTCTACGGTTACATATTCCACACCATACATCCCAAAGGACCTGATTAATTTGGGAGCTATCAAGTATACCTTGTACATTCCAGGTGGTCTGATTTGAGCACTATACTTCTCTTTGTCCTTTCTCGCTTTTTTCTTCTGCCATCGATTCACATGATGCCATATTCTACTTATCAATTCCCAGTTTTCTGCAGGCATGAAACGAAAGCTCTTTGAGGAATGTTATGTCCGTTTGCTTTTACCCTTGTATCGGCGTGAGATTCCAGTTATTCGGAGACTGCTGGCAGACCGATTGAGTATTGTTGAGATGATCGATGCTGCTTTCTTTTCTGAATGAGTATTGACACCGATTTTCGGCCCGCAAGGAGGTTTATTGTTGAAGTGCCTTTCCTGTCTCACCTTTTAGGCGTTTTCAAGCTCCGTCATGCCTTGAATCCTTATTTATCCTTTCCTTTCACTATTGAATGAGAAAATACTACAATTGATTTGGAGATAATCTTGCGAAGATCTTGGATTATAGCCAGCCATGGTCAGTCGCTATCAAGGTACAGCGAGGAACGGATGTCTCGTGAGATTAATACTGTAGAGTACTTTGACAATTCGGCTCTTGAGGGATAAGCCGCCTTTCATGACTAGCCGAGTTGTTACTATAACTGGCAACGGTATTTATTGTCAGGTTGTCGGAGACTGCCCAAAAGATAAGAGGAAGTCGCTTCCCCATTTCGAGGAAGCGCACTTTTGGCACTGATCGACGCAGCCTAGAGAGCAAACCTGTGGTCACTTGAGGGAGGATTCGCTATATAAGGCACTGCTTGTTTCATAGGACTCGTTCAGGCCAGATCATGTTCAGGCTGACGACGGGCCAGCACCACTATCATCGATATGCTGGTGGTGACCCCCGTCACTATCAGCGTCTTGTTTGTCCGAGCTTTCGGCCCGGTCAATCCCCACTGCTGTCCTCCGGTCCAGAGCTTGCGCCGTAGTAATTCGGTGCTCTGGGGGTGGAGGTACCCATTTGCTGCGGTTCCATGCCGGGACACGCATAACGTACATCATGTCCATCTCCTCGAAAGTTTTGCCCTTACCTTCCAACACGCAGAAGTAGACGATCACGACCGCAGCAAATAGGCATTCGGCGAAGACATAACCGTACGCGAAGTCAATATCGCCGGTAATAAACGGAGTGAAGAAGCCAATGAGGAAGTTCCAAAGCCAGTTCGGCGCGGTATCGCGACGGATAAAGCTCAGCGACTATCGCCCACACCGTAGGGCCCCATGTCATGGCGAACCCACTTGTCGAATTCAAATTCGATATCAGCATCAGCCTCCTGGTTCAAACAAGGTATCACGAAACGTCTGAGGGAGAGACTGAAAGATTCTCACGTGATAAACAAACATGCGAACACCACCATTGCTTTTCCAGCACGAGGCGTCTGAGGAGGGTCACGCACATTTAAGGAGAAATGTCCGACAGAGGGGAAGGCCATAAAACATACGAACATCCACATGCCCCCAGTGATGAGTAACTTGCGGCGCCCGAAGTGCTAGATGAAATACAGACCTCCGAATGTCGTGCCGAAATTGACACCGCCAAGGATCATCTGCGTGACTTAGGTGTTTCTGATACCGGCTCCATTGAACACAACAGTGCCGTAGTAGAAGAAGTAATTAGCACCGGTCAGCTGCTGGAAGGCTTGTAGCACGATACCGAGGAAGATCCCGTACGGCATACGAGGTCCTTGAAACATCTCGACCTAGCCCATGCCATTCCCCTTTAGACGCACTCTCTGCCTCGAGCTGATCCTCGATTTCGGGGAGCTCCTCCAAAATCACACGTTAAATTTGGGGCACCCCGTAGAGCTTTGACATGGTACTTCTCGCTTGGTCGATGCGTCCACGACGATTATCATAGTGCGGACTTTCCGGGGAAAACATGATCCCTATCCCTAGTATTAAGCCCCAGAGGAATGTGATCCGGAGAGTGAGACACCACGAGCCGGAGTTGGCTATTGATTCGGTGCCGAAATTGATGCAGTATGCGACAAAGATCCCTAATGTCACAAATAATTGATATGAGCTGCGGAACGCGACGTCAGACGCTCCGAGTGCATAACCAGGCTGAAGAATAGCGAGATTCCTGCCAGACCATTGCCCCGCGGACCTGTCGAGGAGCACTCTCGCCTTAGTACATCGGGACCAACAAAGAACATGCCCCAACACCGAAACCGGTGACAAAACGTCCCATCATTAATTGGTACCATTTCGGTGCCGGAGAAGGTTTGTATGATCAGGCCGACTTGAAGAATGACGCACCGGAACGCAATAGCCGGCCAGTAAAGCTCCTAGCAGAGTGCCAATGGACAGCTATCGACATGCTTGTCGTCAGAAATTCTTTGCACTCGCAGATAGCTAGACTTATCCAAGAACGGCTGATTGGTACGCATCAGAGAAATGATGAGGCCGGACCGCACGTTGCTGAAGGTGTATCTTCCGTCGTCTCCCAACTGACCAATCTGCGCTTAAAATCATTCATCTCAAGGAATCCTGAAATCTGGCCGGCGTCATAGCCGAATATGATGCCGCCGACAGACACAAATGCACCAAGTGGCAATGAACGCCATGGGAGGAAAAAAACACGGCTATCGGGCCACATCTAGAGCAACCCCATAGCATACATGAGTGGACCTAATTAGAGTAAAGATAGATGTCGTTGGCCATCCCAATCACGTAAACTTGCCACCTGGGGATCCCACGGCAGGGGTCAATGACAGCATGACTGGAGAGAACATTGAAGGGATTCTTTCTCATTCAAGAAACTTATATATGTTGTTTAGTCCCTCGCCTATTTTTTTGCTCTCCTAGCTATTTCTCACTTAAGAGTCTAGCAATGGGCGATGAGCAGCACAGCATCTAATGCTCACACATCCTTCTGACGCCGCCCTCACATTCTAGATGCAGAACGTCGCTAGAGCCAGAGGGCATCCGTGCTCCTTGCGACGTCAACTCAAAAGGTCTATAATATGGGCTTCCAATGAAGCCCGGTTCCAGGCGGAAAGGTAAAGCGAGTACAGTCTGGAACGCAAGTGTGCGTAGTGAGGTGGCTCAGGCGCTGGTCCGCAGTGTAGCTTTAGCAGTTCCGGACCTGTCTGCGGGCTGGACAGTAGGCTTTGAATTTGTCAGAATCTATATTTAAACATTATGAGTTATCTGCGTAGTTAGGCAAGATGGCCGAGTTGGTCCAAGGCGTGAGGTTAAGGTCTACCTTAATATCAACTTCCCAAGTTCCTCATCATCGTATGATGGCGTGGGTTCGAATCCCACTCTTGTCATTTCTTTTTGTGGTGTCTCATTTTCACATCAATACGTTGACGTACATCATCAATCAATCAATCAATAAGCAGATCTATCTATATACACTCTGTTCCAAATGAGACAAACAATAATTATATCAAAAAACCTCAAATATAACAAAGGGTGGCATTCGCCCACGTCTTCATACAACGATGAGGAAGGATATTAATTTCAAATTCTTTGTCGATAATCCCACTAAGTCTACTCACTTACGGGTTAACTCTTTATGACGTATATTATAATAAAGTTGACATTGAGGTGGACACTAAGCTCATCACCGCCATCTTGCCTCTGGAATGCCAATCGTCACTTCAGCCAAAATGCACTACAACAAGTAGATGTCACTTGAACTTTGCAACCCAACTGAGTCCACAAACAGACTCCGTTCGCATCTGCCGAGAAGGCACTGGCCGGAAGGCTCCACTAGCGACAACGGGGTTCTAAAGGTAATTCAAATGACAGACTTCGCTCGCTGCCGAGTAGTCGCCCTGAGATACATAATCAAATGGTATGTAACTGCGAAACAGAAAGGTCTGATCAGTAAGGTATTCCGTTTGTCAACAACTGAAACTGATCATATCCCTTTGTTGAAACGCTCATGTAGGACTTGCGGATGAGTTCCCGCATGTACTCGGCTGCCTCCCTTTCATTCTTCTCTAGCACAAACCTGTCACGGAAGTTCTTGAGCGTATCAGGTTTGAAGCACGGCAGGCCGCTATCAAGCATCAACGACACAATATGAGAGAGCTTGGTGCAAAAGGGACGGGATGCGAGGAATGCCTTTATTACCAAGGATTCGAACCACCGGTACGGCTGTGTAGACGTTGGGTTGTTGGAGTGTCCTCCAGGCAAGCCGAGCCCGCCATTCGAGCCACCATGTGAATGGACATGTGGATGTAAAGTGCCACTCATGACAGCCACCATCTCGGATGTGAGCTTGAAAGGTGCGCGCTCAAAACGTACACCACCTGGAGCAATGTCAAAGCAGAAGCCAAAGTCAATGTGTATGATATGGCCAGCATCATCGATCATAATGTTACCGTTATGCCGATCTTTGAACTGCAAAAGGTAAGAGATGACTGAATAGGCAGCCATGCTCTTCACAAAATTCGTTCGCGCTTCCTGGAAACGCATGGAATGCTCCCCACCGTACTTGGAAATGAAGTAGTCGTAAAGACCATTTACTGCTTCGCGACCTAGCATATCACGAGAGATGGAGTTGGGAAGAACGTCAATTACTCCGCAGCCAGGGGCCGTTGATGTCACTCTGTAGGGAAATACCCAAACGTCAAGCCCTGCACTAGCAAAGATACTGCGAAAAGCCGCGATCATCTGCAAAGCAAGCATGTCCTGGCGACAGTCATCACCAACTTTGAAGATAGCTGACTGCCAAACTTCGTACGTCTCTTGAGATGAAGGAGAATGCAGAGGCGCCGACAACGTCTCCGTCGAGGCATCATGGCCAGCAGTACTCGGGCGGGATTGGCCCTGGGAATCTCGTTCGTCCCCACGGGTCCTTGTTTTTTGAATCCGAAATGTTGCCATGTATGGAGCCTTTGCATGGCTCTGTAGTGGTTTACCGGATTTTCGGTCGATCCCAACTACGACTCCATCCGGATTGCTCGGCAGGTATACACCAATTTCGACCTTGATTTTTCGGAGTTCCTCCTCGATCTTCGCCTTCTTCTCGGGTTTACTTTTCTTGATATATGGCCGAAGCTTTCCTGATATACCCGTGATGTCGTTGAAGAAAGAAAACTCCCTTTCATAGAAATCACGCTCCTCGTCGCTGAAGCTAGAAATGAGAGTGTCCATGAAACGGTCAAGAGTCGGCTTGAGCGGGTCGGGCTGTCATTGGATGTTAGTCAATTGTCCGTCCACGGGGTATCATAACGCACAATCTGGGAGTCTTCGTCCTTATAAGAGTTGGCTTTCATATTCCAAATCACTTGATGGGCAAACAATTGCGATTGTTTGGCTGTCTCAAGGATGTAACGCTCTACATAGCCCAGTGCATCGTATCGCAAAGCCTGAACGAGCTGTGGGACAAAGTAGAAACGAACGTCTATGGGGTGGCTTTCCAATGTTCTCATGGCGTATTGTAGAACAAACGGATGATTGCCATATGCTGGTAAGAAATAAGTCAAAGCTTCCGTGGGATTGACTGCTGCCCAATATAATAAATACTGGTAAAGTCAGCTTCCTCTCTCTTTTTTGTCTTTGGTTGTTGGGTCTTTGAGGACTGAAGAGAGGACAAACGGACCTTCAGCTGAAAAGAGACATCCGAGGGCAGTGCTGCACCCAGCATGACCTCGAGACTGCTCGGCTCGTCCAAAGCCTTCTCAGGGAAATTGAGCAGTAACCAACGTATATCATTCTTCATCTTCGGGGACGAGTAGCGCGACGAGAGTTGGATCGCTAGCCCTGGACTCTCAGCCCAGGCAAGCCGCAGAAGATGAATAGCTTCCTAAGCAGGTATTAGGTCCCATGTGACATAATGCAAGGGCATGAACTGCTGCTACTAGCACATAACGAACAGGGGATTGACGAACCTCTGCAGAGTTTCTGTTTCCAGAAATCTGGAAATGCTTTCGATCCCCTTCTAAAGGAAATAACCAGACTCTTAGACGAGATCTCTCATGTTCTATGAGCAGCTGAAGAAGATCATGCTTGACTTGCAGTGGCTTGAAGTTGCCTCGTGTGTGATAGGGCACAGTCGAAAGTCGACGTAAAGCACGGCTAACATCGTCGAGTATTTGGTCTTCGGCTTTGACCTGCAACCTATTGCCCCCAAAGGACCACCTGATTAAAGTATAGAGTAAGCACTCGTCTCCGACATTATAGAAAAGGTAGACAAACCTCGGCGGATGCTTGAACCAATCGAGCGCAGCAGACAATATTTGATCGCTGAGCTTCCACAAAGCCACCTGTTCTGGTTGATAAGGATCTTGTATAACCCTTAAGCCAAAGAGGACAATACGAAAATGCAACTCTCTAGCCAAGGGGTGGCCACTTGTTTGCAGAAGCCCGACAGTCGTTCTATCAATAAGACGACCGAATAGACGGCGGTTCTGGGCGCTATTTAATCGAACGGCATTAAAATGGCTCTCGAAAAAACGAAGGGCAATAAGATGCGGCGCGAGAGTGGCCTGAGCCT